GCCATTGCGAGTGACGGGCGGCTTCGACTCGAGTACCGCACCACCTCCCTCGCTGTGGTTGTCATGACTGAGGGATGTCTCGAGGGCAACTGGGGACGCGAGGGAGTCGCCCTGAGGATCGGGCGAACCCAAGCCAGCCTTCGCCTGGGCTTTGGCGCGCTTCTTCTGCTTTTTGGTGGTTCGCTGTGGCTGGGGTGGCAGGAAATCATCTAGGGTTTCTCCTGGATCCTCCGCCTTGATGTCCTTGTCCAGAGGCACGTCGTCTGACTTGATGGATCCGTTGGGACCGTCGTCGTCAGTGGTGTGTCCATTTGCGTGGGCATGGCCGTTGGTCTGAGGCACGTATGTTGAGGGCTCCGAGGGATAGTCGAGCTGGTAGAAGTAGCGAATGACCATCCCGACCGCCTGAGGGTCATCGTCGGGAAGATTCAGGCATCCATCAGCGGCCGCCTGCGGAGACAGTGCTACATTAGCATCGAGATGGGTTATATGTACCGGGACACGGATACCGACCTGGGACTTGGCTTCACGACATTTCTCGGCGAAATAGCTGGATCTTGGGCACACGACCGCCTTGTGAACGTGATACTCATTCTCGCGACTGGCAATAGTGAGATCTGAGAACTCGGGATTGTTGTAAAGTCTGTCTCGTGTGAGTCAATTGTGCTTCTCCGATTCGCCGATCGACTTACTGCTTCAGAGAGCTTCTCAGCTCCTCGACAGCGTCGGTGCTCATGGTGATAGGCGTCGAGAACAGCCCTCCAACTCAAGAACGAGACCGTGAGGGATCTGGATCAACCAAACTTTAACATCGGGGCACGAGGGCAGCTATTTGTGCTTCAGCCATAGCCTCGTCAGCCCTCTATGACACAGCAGTGGCATGACAGCTCCTGGCCAGCTTCGTCCTTGTCGGAGAGTGTCCAGCGCATGCCTCATCTCGCCCACCATCATGCATTCGATCAAAATTCAGGCAAGCCTGGGCCGCGATGAGGCGGTTTGATTACCTCCCCCGAACCAATTGAGGGTGTGCGGCCGACCTAGTTTACGCTCAGGATGTAAGATGGCGCACACACTTCTGCAGGCAGCATGCGACCGCGCGACGCAGCCTCGTCGTGATGTGCCCCCTTAACGCCTGGGAGCCTGGTGCCATTGGATTCTTCAGCGCGGTTTGATGCGGAAGGCTTCGTCATTGGAGCCCAAACGGCCACACCGTCCGCCCCGGTGGTGTCGGGACCGCGTCGCACGGCATGGTCAACGGCAGCAATGCATTGATACCTGGACAAGCAAACGGCCAGTCAATAAGTCCCGGGCAGCGCCTCGAAGTAGGCTCGGCTCGCTTGGTACCAATGGCAGCGCCGGAGGATGACACCCTCTTCAACGAAGTGCGGGGAACGGGACGCCCTCCTTGAGTGGCCGGATGCTGACATGAATTGGGCGTCGTAGTTCGCAAGAGGCAACGAGGAGATGAATTGACTTTGGCGCAATGCAGAACAGCCCGCGTCATTGGACCTATGACTGGGCGCGAATTGGGAGACGGAAAGATTTTGCTGGCAGCTCTGTGGCTTCGGCGTTGGTAGGTGATGGTAGGTCAAGGAAGATCGATGTGCCCGATTCCAGCATCAGAATGTTGGCGGGAAGGTCGGGAGTAAACCATTAATCGAGATAATCCATTTCTTAGAATACTTGTTCATCATGTAACCAAGATTGTCACCTTCCAAACTCTGTGCTCTGTTCCATATGAGATAGAATTTTCGGCCGACTTACATTCGTGCACTGGCTCCAAGCCGATCCGCCCCCGGAGTGGCGGAAGAGCCGAAGGGGGGCTATGTTCACCGATCCGATGCCGGTTACCGCCGGAATTTTCGCCATGCTATTTGACCGAAGCTGCCCAACGTGTCATCCGTCGGCAGTTCACTCGGTGTACGCTGGTCCTGAGCCAGAGAAAGGCGGTGCCTCAGTGTTCTCTGTGGAAAACAGAAAGGCCTGACCATTTCCTCGCCCACGGTTCAGAAGAACATCGCTTCCTGAATCATGCATCATGGAGATAGCACAACGTACTTGTTTAGTGGCCGGTTTAAACTTGGTGCAGCATCACGACCTTTCCTCGATTCCAATTATGAAAAGTCCTCAACTCACCTACCAATGTTAGTCAAGACGCATATGTCAAGACGCATATACGAAGTTCCGTTCCATAACAATCATGGTTCATCGTGTCAACCTGGTCCTCTGTATCTGCCTCTTCATGCTCTTGTTTGCATCAGCTATGAAACTTCCCAATTATGGCGTCTGGAAAGGAACAGCGACGTTCTTCTCTGCGCCTCGGAGCCCTTCAAAACAAACGGCACTTTTGACCATCCGAGATGGCAAGACCTACCACACTAGTCCCGTTCCTACACCCCCGCCAAACATCGATATACTCGCAACTCTCAGTATGGAAGCACCAGACGATCACGACAACCGCATCGTGTATTGGATAGATCGCAACTTCACAGCCTCTCTTGTGTCAGACAGCTTCCTGTTGGCGAATCTGAAGCCTGGATACCACGAGATTCCATCATCCGAGCGAGACCCTCACAATATCCCAGGACTCGACATGGTGGCAGACGGATATGTTGACATGAGAAAGGGAACATTTAGCATACACAACGTTCCAGAACATGTCCAAGGTACTGTCGACATGATGAAGTCCTTTTTTAACCCGGCAATTGAGGCGCAGGCGGATGTTTGGATCTGGGGCCAACGAGGAGAACACGGGAAAGGACTTGTCATGCATCATGTCCACATGAACCAAGGGCATTCGGGGATACTCGCCGAAGAGAATGGAAGAAATCAAGACGGCGGTGTCATACTTAGATACTACGACCACTGGGAGGCGCTGTTCATCGCGTTCCCTCAGCAGGCGGCCTACACGGATGAAGCGGGAGAGCCAGTTGGCGATGTCCTGGCTAACATCGCTGGTCGAGGATAGCGATACAAGACGTGTTCAGCGAGGGGAGTGGCTCATCAACGGCATGGAGTCAACACGCAAAAAGTACGCCAGGATCTGTTGCGAAAATCAGTCCATCTTAGTTGACGAGCTGATGAGACTAAAGCAAGGCTTTCCGCGTGCTATGAGCGCCATATCAACAATGACAACGTTTCGGTTCACAAACAGTTATAACAAGCGCGCCCTGTCATGAGAAGTCGTGAGACTAGCAGAACTGAACCGCGAAGCCTGGACATGGGCCAGCTACATGCCAGCCTTCAGGATCTCGAAGGCATCTTCACGATTGCCCCTGAACCGCTCCTCGGCAGCCGTCCAATTGATGATCTTCCACACGTTGTCGACGTACGATGCTTTGCCGTTCTGGTACTTTAGAAATCGTCAGCCAAATCTCGTCGAGCATACCAAGGTAGTCAGACGTACCTGCAGATAGTATGCGTGTTCCCACATGTCGATACCAATAATGGGCACCTCCCCACCGACGACGGGATCTTGGTCCTTGGTCGTGACGACGCGAAGTCCACCGTCTCTTCCAGGAGCCTTGACCAGCCATCCCCACCCTGAGCCCTGAATACCCATCAAGGTCGAGGAGAAAACAGTTCTCAGGCCAGCCAGACTGCCAAACGTGGACTTGATCTGTTCCATAAGCGAAGGAGCGGAGCCCTTGGGGTCCGAGGCGTCTTTGCTGTCTGCAGGGGCGAGGGTCTGCCAGAAAAGCGAGTGGTTGATGTGGCCTCCGCCGTTGAATTTGATCATGTTTTGAAGGGCAATCTGGTCGGGGATGTTGGCCTCAGCCACGGCTTTGGAGTAATTGCCCAAGGCAGCATTGAGGTTCGTGACGTAGGCCTGGTGGTGCTTATCATGGTGCAGTGTCATGATTTCCGCCGAAATGTGCGGTTCGAGAGCCTTTGTACCATGTCAGGCTGTGATGTTGTGTTGCCATTGAGTGACTTACATTGTAATCGTAGGGGAGGGGAGGCAGTGCATATGTCTGGACAGCCATCTTGGGCGGGTCGTCCTGGATCAGTGAGCGACGATGTTCCAGCGGCAATTACATGCGGCATCAAAGCCCGCGAACGACGACGGGGACGCTGAACAAACAGCACAGAGCACGACGTGTCTGGATGAAAGAATCGACGCTGGGGAAAACCCACCATCTGCGCATACTGGACCTGTTGGGGGAACTCGCTGGGCATATAGGAAGCCGCGCCCGATGAAGGGGTGGCTAGGACTGATGAGACGCTAGTCATGGCTCCCTTGTGATGATTGCGCAAAAGCCAATCGACGAGGGCAGAAGACTGCCGTGTGGCTACCTGATGAGGCTAGAGAGGGGATCTGGAAGACAAGTAGCCGTTGGCAGGGAAGATGCAGTGAACGACAAGCAGCGACAGCGGTTGCCGAGGGGGTGGATCGCCTGCCGAGACGTGTCAAAGGTCAGTGACGCGAACCATGACCAGGTTGACATGCGCTTTATGCTTTGGGGCGGGACGTCGAAGCCGAGATAACGGCCTGGGTCCTTACCTTGCTTGGGGAGTTCTTGCGCTGAGAGGGGCTGCCGTTTGGCTTGACGGGGAGAGAAAGTGAGTATAACGGCGAGCAGATGAGACGGTGAGGGCGGGCCAATTAGTTTCCAGTCGGGCCGTCGCGCGAGGCAAGGTTCATGTTCTTACGGACAGAGTTGAAGCAGTGGAAACAAACTAATTAAGGTACAAGATGCACGGCTCGATGGCCACGTTGCGGTTTCTCCTCTCAGGGCGTCGATCGCCGCGTCCGGGGTCTTGGGGGGCCGCTAAAGCCGAAGGCCTGGAGCTTAATAATGTGAGGCGCCCCTGAAGAGCATTGTCCTGCAGCGGACGCTGCCCATCGCGAAAGCGAAAGCCACACTCACAGGGGCATTTATTTATGCTTATGTACCTTACTTCAACTGTGCTTCTTACCATACCTACTCGAGCCATCAACCAAACACAATGTCAGAGTTGCATGAACTTTGACTTTATCCTTCCTCGCAGCTTTTCTCTCATTCAGCCTTGGGCTCACGAACCCAAATCTCGTCAATGGGGTCTCCTCTGCCCTGAACACACCTCCATTTGCCCATGCCGTACTCCTTGGGCGCAACTCGGCACCCTCTGCCACCGCCTCCCACGATTAGGTTTCCGGGACGGTATTTGGGATCCCTCTCCATCCTGCGAATGACACTTCCGTGGACCCTCACCTTATCCGGCACATCGCGCACCTCGCCCCGGGGTAGAGGCCAGCGGATGGGCTTCCAACTCCCATCAGGTCTCAGGTCCAGCCGACGGAAGGGGAGATGTTCCATCACGCGCCACATGAAGACGGTCGCAGGGTGCATCCCACATTTGAAGTCCAGAGAGTCGTGGATATCCGCCTCGTGCGCCGTATTGATCATCTTGCCGAACAGAGTTGTTGTCTCGGCATGGGTCATCCCGTCGGCCTCTTCGTCGGCCTGCACTGTGGCTGATCCGCTCGGAGACGCGCTCGGAGACCCGACCGGAGATGGAGCGTCCACATGGATCTCGGGGACTGTTGATGGAGCACGTGACCTTTCAGGGGTCTCGTCTCCCCAGGGGACGGGATTGAAGCCAGGTCCAGCGACTGATTCAACGCATCTCAGGTTCTCGAGCTGGTCAATATCGAAGGTTAATCCTGCGCGGATGGCCTCGCGCACCATCCAGACCAACGGGATGTGGCTGGCATTCTTGCTGCCGGCCTTCACATCCCATCCTCCGCCAATGTCACCGTGGCCCCCGGCAAACCACACCTCGTCGACGCTCTGCTCCTCTTCATCGTCCGAGTCATAACCGAGATCCTCCATCGGCGGTTTGGAGTGGATTGATGAAGCATCATGTTCTGTGCCACCGGGATATGACCGGTTCGTGGTCCTCGACTTGGACCTGGAACGGGAACGGAAAGGCGCCGGATGGTCCGCGTCTTCCCCCTGGGCCCGGGACTGGCGTCGACCGCGGTCTTCCGCAGCGACAATGTCATCTGGAGCGAGGGTTGATCTTCGGCCAGGCCTGTACTTCTCCTGGAACTCCTGTACCTTTTCGTTAATGGGTTGGTGGTGTTCCATCATCCGCTTAGCAGCACTCTTCTTTCGGCACCTGTTGGGCTCCTGGTAGATGAGGTCCTGTCGGAACTTGGCACGCCGCTCGTCGATGCTCACGGCATGCCTGATGACCTTGGCCGAGCTCCGAGCGGTGTACGGGAACCTACTTCTCTGCATCCAGGCCGTCTCGAACCGGGGCACACTATTCACTGTGTCGAAGAGTCCGAGGAACCGGATCCTCCGGATTGGTCGCGAAAACGTCTCGCGGAACCCCTTGAGGAACTGGTACATCTTCTCGCGATCTTCCTTGCCCTCGGGCGTGGAGTTTGACCTGCGGGCCTGCCACTGGGAGAAAGAGTTCCACGCGAACGACACCATTTCCTCGTTCCCGTGGGCAAGCAGGCCGACGAAGTCCAGCATCTCTGCGAGGAACCTAGCCACGTAGGCGCCTCGTGAGAAGCCGAACATGTAAATGTCATCACCCGGTGAGTAGTATCGCATCAGAAATCGATAGCCACCCACGACGTGCTGGTCGAAGGATGATCCCACAGCGGAATCTTTGGCCATCTGGTAGTATGACTTGCACTTGGCCCGCAGGCCGTTGTGCGTCAAGTTGTCGGAGACAACATACGTTCCGATGCCAGCTGTGACAGCGTCAACAATCGCACGTCGACGTTTGCTCGGGACGACTTACGTTGGTAGTAGTGAACTATCGCTCGGGTTAGCTAGCTGGCAGAAAAGAAAGACCGGCCCCCTGAAGCGGACAACTAACATTGATCGTTTGCGTTGCTGTCTAGCATGCGGAAGATTTTCAGGATGTTGCTATCGCTATCGTCCCCCCGGAACTTATTTCCGGTTCCGTCAAAGCAAAGAATCAGCTTTCGCCGGGGGCCGCACATCTGCCCGGTCCGGAATGCGCCGTTATCGAACGGGCTGACATCCCTCGATTCTCTGACAGCCGGCTGGCCGTTCTGAGCGTGAGGATGCATCGTTGACGCTGATGTTCATACGTGAAGGTTGTCTTTCTTTCTTAGCTCTTAACACTCACGGAGTGCCAACTAGCTACTTCTTCGTGCGCGGGCGTGGGCGCTTTTCCCTTATACGGGTGGTTATGTTTCGCGATCTTTCGGCACCTCGTCGCATTCCATATGTTTCTCAAGGGGGCACGGCGGTCTGGCAAGTCCTGGTAGTCGGTGACAGGTGATATGCAACCGGTCAGATTTGGACTGATGTGCGTCACCAAACGGCATTCCCAAAGACGCTCGTCTTTTGCATGGGCCGGTCGTTGCTCATCAGCGGCGCCGACTTTCCGCTCGTGTCTTACACCATCTGCAATGCATTTCTAACCCAATGTCGTGAAATGATGCCAGAGTTGAATCAGCATGATCGTCGGCCTCGGTCAAGACCGTGAGCTTCACTGCACCGGCGGAGCCACCGCGACTCACACCGTCCATGAGTAAAACATATTTGTGAAACAGATCTACACCTAACAGTCACTAGGAGAAGCATTGGAACTGCAAAGCCCTCTTTCTAGCAAACTAAGTCATCCGTGGGATGAATGTTTTCGGACAAGAGCATCCTCAGCTTTCAGCCTAGAGACTAGGGAAAGAGACATGTCTCATGCCCAATCTCGAAAGATGCCCCTTGTTAAGGAATGGACTTGGCGCAAACCGCTCTTTTGGGCAGTCGCCCAAATCCGCTCGACCACTAGCTCTTCAGAAGCCGAGATAGCTCGCAGATGTGCGAAGGACTACTGGCACTCGGAATGGAATACAATAGTAGATCACTGTGAGACATACGGCAGAGCTAACAATGCCACCAATCACCAACTGCCACGGAGTGACATCATCAATGGCTGGAGGCTTGTCTTGCAACTCTCAATGCCCATTCGGGAGCGTTTTCACCGTCGAGAGATATGACCCGCAATGCGCCAAGTCCTGTCGGAACGGGTCGATCTCATCAAGGCTAGGGCGCGGGGATCTGCGAGCCGGTTGGCTGGCTCGACGGTTACACAAGATTCTTATCTGTCTCTCTGGGATTGCGGAAATATCTTCACATGAAGGGGGGCCTTGGCCTCAAGCGTGCAAGCGGATTCAATCCACTGGGCAGCGCAGTCAAGACTGATTCCCATCGCACAACATACACGAGCCGTGAATGCATGTCTTGAAGCGATGCTGTTGATCAGGAATGCCGGCGCTCAGCCGTGTTGCAGATGATTTCTTCCCAAGAGGGCCGACGGCAGCTCGCATTGCGTGTGTCCCTGCCGTGAAAGTCAGTTCGGCAGTACGGCCGCATCCAACGGTCACAAATGATTCGTCAACGGCATCCCGGCGGTTGCATCGCGGGCAGAAACCGCAAATTTTGAGCAACCTCGAAAGAAAGCATGGATCGGCAGATGGGCTGAGCGATGATCTTTCCCTAGTGCTCCCGAGAGGGATCACCACCGATGGTTGCAGGGGCACAACCGGCCGACATGCCATCCGCGGTGGGGTCTAGTCCCAGACAACATCTAAGACAGTTGAGCGCTATCGTCGCGGTCTCACCCGTTGGTATTCGTGAGTGTTTTCACGTGCCTCAGCATGAAGTGATACCGACGGAGAGAGACGGCCTGAAACCCAATTGCAATGGAAGTCACCTCATTTGCGGCCGAGATGCTGTACCCTGATAAGAGCGTGAGAATACCCAGATGTGAAGAGGGCTTACTCGCCTCGCGACTCTTCCCACCGGACGAACGCAAAGGATCAACAACACTTACACCATTAACTTGCCCGTCATGAAGCGAGGGAGCCATTCGAGCGGCGTGGCAGAGCATGAGCACGTCGAACTGCATTCCGCCAAACATGACCATGGCGTTCGCCCTCACGCAAGAAGCGTGGACAGTTCTAGCAAAGGCGATCCAACTTATGGCAAGCATGATGTAAAGTTGAGTGGTCTTCGCAAGGCTGTTGCCGAGTCGAAGCGACCGCTGCCAGTCATGTTTGGTGACGGGTCATACCCCGTGGACCAGTCTCGCCCAGGAAAGCGGCAAGAATTCAAGGCTTTGCAAGCTCGAGGTATGAAATTCGATTCCCAGCTCAAGAGGGATTGCCTAATAGTTTACCCCAGACTTCAAGACACTGTACGACATTCTTAAAGGAAAGATCAAGGACCACGGGATCCAGGATGACAAGACCATGATCATGGAACGCACCATTCAAATCGTCGCGAAGCTGCCGCATAGATCCAGACTTCGAGACATCCTTACCAATGTCTTCATCGAGCAGCTTTGGGACTCTCTTGAGCACCCGCCACTGTTGTACCTGGACGGCCCTCCGGAAGATTCCAAGTTGGATGCTGGAAGACGCGACAAACTCGGCAACCTTAAGCCTGTGAAGTACATGTACCGCACAGCTGATGGATCTTACAACGTGAGTATTGTCGACTGCGGAAGTATATGGGCATACTGACCATCTCGAAGAACCCGTTGTTTCCTTTACGTGGTGCTGCGAAACAGCCGTATGCTCGTTCTGTCAAGCCTCGTCATGTTGCCCTGGGCGCCTTACCCGACCCAAGCTTGGTCTTCGACTCAGTTATGGGCCGGCGCGAATTCAAGCCACACCCCAACAATGTTTCAAGTGTTCTATGGCACTGGGCCACGATTATCATTCACGGTATTTCGCCTCCGTCAAACGTGCAACTGGCTCATTCTGACAACTCCTAGATTTATTCTGGACAGACCGCCAGAACTCAAACATATCGAACACGTCGGCTTATCTCGATCTTTCACCGCTGTATGGAAGTGATCAGATAATGCAAAACGAGGTGAGGTCGCACGTGGACGGGAAGCTCCACCCCGACGCGTTCGCCGACGCGCGACTGAACATCATGCCCCCCGGTGTCTGTGTCCTCCTCGTCATGTTCAATCGTTTCCACAACCACGTTGCGGAGAACCTAGCCGCTATCAACGAGAACAATCGCTTTCCGCGTCCGGCCGATGGCGATACGGAGGCAGCCAAAAAGTACGATGAGGACCTCTTTCAGACCGCACGACTGGTCACTTGTGGGTTGTACATCAACATCACTCTTGTCGACTACGTCCGCAACATTGTCAATCTCAACCGCACCAACACGACTTGGACGCTGGATCCACGCCAAGAGGCCGGCGCAGGTGCTGGCACTCCGAAGGGTGCCGAGATCGGTACCGGAAATGTCAACTCGGCCGAATTCAACCTCTGCTACCGCTGGCACTCCTGCATCTCCAAAGAAGACACGGAGTGGATTGACAAGGCTTTCACAAAGAAGCAACTCCAGCATGTCCTCCCGAAAAAGGAAACAGATAAGATGGCCTTCCAAGAGTTCGCGGAAATGGGCAAAACTTCCACTAGAGAACGGACTTTTGGAGGACTTAAGCGTGACGAAAACACCGGGAAATACAACGACGACGAGTTGGTTCATATCATTACTAGCGCTGTGGACTCGGTGGCCGGCTCTTTTGGCGCGCGCAACGTTCCTCTCTCAATGAAGAACGTGGAGGTTGGAGGCATCAAGCAGGCGCGCGAATGGAACGTCGCCGGTCTGAACGAGTTCCGCAAGCACTTTGGCCTCAAGCCGTACGACACTTTCGAAGAAATCAACCCCGACACGGACGTGGCGGAGGCTCTCAGACATCTTTACCAGCATCCAGACAACGTTGAACTCTACCCGGGTCTCGTTGCGGAAGACTCGAAGAAGCCAATGTCGCCTGGCGTTGGAATTGCGCCGACTTACACAATCTCGCGAGTGGTTTTGTCTGACGCAGTGTGTCTTGTCCGTGGTGACAGATACTATACCATCGATTACAACCCACGCAACCTCACAAGCTGGGGCTTCAAGGAGGTTGAGTACGACCTCGACGTCAACCACGGCTGTGTGTTCTACAAGCTTTTCCTCAGGGCTTTCCCCAACCACTTCAAGGGGAACTCAGTCTACGCCCACTACCCCATGGTCACCTCAGCTGAGACGAAGAAGATTTTGACGGACCTCGGACGGCATGACCAATTTGACTACCAGAAGCCGCAATGTTACAAGACCCCCAAAGATTACACAACTCAGCAGGATTACGTTGAGCACGGGGAGCCCTTCCGGCGACACGTCAACGTTCTGTCAAATAGGGCAGCCGAGCACATCTCCAAGAGCGAGAACAAGTACAAGGTTACCTGGAGTAACGGCTTCAATCGTATCATGGGTACTTGGAACAAGTATTTGTCGTCGAGCGACAACGACTACCGCAAAACACAGGCTTGGATGGACCACGAATTCCGCAAAGACAACAGCCAAGATAATATCAAGAACTTCTACTTCCAGATCACCAAGAAGTTGATAAACGAAAAGTCGTACACCTTGGGTTACCATAACCCAGACATCCCCTGTCAGTTGCAGACGCACGTTGATATCATTCGTGACGTGGGCAACATGGCGCATGTGCACTTCGCTTCTCACGTTCTCAACTTGCCCCTGAAGACCAAGGAGAACCCGAAGGGTGTGTTCACCGAACAGGAGATGTATCGGGTTATGTCAGCTATCTTTGATTCCGTTTTCCTCAATAGCGACCTGGTCAAGGCCTTCCCTCTTCAACAGGAGGCGCAGAGGGGCCTTTCAGAACTTGGGGCCTGGCTGGAGAAGAACGTCAAAAAGCGATCCAAGCTCCCCGTTGACAGAGCTCCTGGCTCGCATCTTGCATCGTACGGATCGAATTTGATCAAGAATCTGTCGAAAGATGGCGTCAGCACTCACGACATCACCTGGAACTACATCCTGCCAACGGCCGTGGCAATGGTGCCGGCGCAGGCGCAGATGGTAAGTCGCATTCACGTCACGATCCGCTTGATTGCTAACCCCGAGTAGTTTGCCCAAGCAGTCAACTACTACCTGGACCATGCGGATCTTGTCATGAAGATTCATCATGTTGCGGTACAGCAGCAGAGTAGGGAAACCGACGCTGAGCTGCTAGGCTACGCATTGGAAGGTATCCGCCTAGCAGGTGGCTTCATTTCTTGTCGCGAAGCAACCGTCAATGAGACGATTGTGGACGAGAGAGTCGTCGATGGCAAGGTTGTGCAAGAACACGTGAAGATTCAGCCAGGCGACAGAGTCTCTCTCATCTTCGTGAGTTGCCCTTCAATTGACCTCATGGCCAAACACTAATATCCAGCGCAGACCGGCATTGCTGGCTTGGACCCGACGCACTTCCCCGACCCGCAGAGGGTCAACCCGAGGAGACCGTTGGAGTCGTACGTTCACTACGGTTTGGCGGCACATGGCTACCTGGGTACGAGCACTACTCATGCAGCGCTCATTGGCATGTTCAGAGCCGTATTTCAGTGCGAGAGACTGGAGCGGCTGCATGATCAGACCAAAACAGAGCCTGAGCGTTACATTGAGCAGCCCCAGGGAATCATCAAGAAGGTGACAAGATCTGTGACCTCGGGTCACGTATTGCAGCGTTCGGACAGCCACGAGGAGCCTCAGGGAATTATCCAGAAGGTGACATCTGTGGCCTCGGCGCACGTGTTGCAGCGTCCGGGCAGTCGGGAGGGTGTTACGAGAATAGATGGCGTCTCGCAGTACCTGACGGAGGATTGGGGAACACTGCGACCGTTCCCTGTGAGCATGAAGGTCAGATGGAGACCTACATGAGGTTGGCTTGAGGTTGATGAATACCCCGGATGAGATAGTATCGTTGTGTAGTCGATTTTAGTGTGTTTCTCAAGAGCTTGCGGTCCCTCGAGTGTAATCATGGTGATGAGACTGGCTGTTGACTGGCTCGTGAGTCTTGATCACTGAACAATGCGTGGAGTAAGAAATGACCACACATTTAGACCGTCGTGAATTCGTTTCGTCGCCTGAGACGCACCCCGATTCGTACCCAGTCAAAATTGGACCTCAGACGTTGAATCAATGGGGGCACGATGATAAAAATTCATTCAATCGGTGCTCGTTGGTTGCATTCGCTCGCGCTACAAGTGGCCCGACCATGACCGTCGAAGGCACAGGAAATCCGAACATGGGTCTTTCTCCGCCTTGGTCGGAGGGGCCCGACAGGGGGTTCCGATGTGGGACGACCGAATTGCTGAGATGCCCTGTGATGACGATCGTTTCTCCGCCCAAGACATGGGCGGGGCTGCGGTTTTGCCCTGAGTGCCAAGTCGCAGAGACATTGATTGCCACGCGTCCGAGGCCAATTGCAAAGGGATGAATTTCTTTGCAAGGGATGGGATTGGCTTCACCCGACTCTGACAGGTCTTGGCCTAGATATTGCGACCGAGACAGTGCTGACGGTGATGGCGGGAATGAGGGGTCTTTGAAGGACAAGAGGGAAGAAGAACAGGAGAAGAATTGGATTCGCATAGTCTGTGCCCCGCGGATCCGCCCTCGCTGCACCAGAGGATGTGCAGTGGTAGTGATCGATCAACAACACTGTTCGGCTTCGAGCCGACTTGTCGAGTGCAACGCGGAGCCGCGTGCGCGTGGGATGTCGCATTCGCATGCTGCATCCCAGGTCATATCTTCACACAGACATCAATAGAAATCATTTGAATGTTGTATATGTGAGTATGAACGGTCATCTATTCATCATCATCATATTGATTCCATGACACAGCATTTACAGATAACAATTTGTGGCTTGCATGTGGCTGATATGTGTTGTGTGTGTGGCTGGTGTTGGGATGAAAAAGAGCGACAAGGCAGCCGGCGACAATTTTGAAAACATTCTTTCAGATACACAGCAGACGGCTGAGCGTGCCGCCGATATTGTTTCAATGTGATTGCCAGTTGCAGAGAGGGCCTATTCTGGTTCCGCCAAGAGGAGACGGCATGAGGGGGCGAAGACTTAACAACGGAGATTAAGGAGGATAAATGACGGTAGCCCCGTTGTGCCTGGCGGCGGACGGGTCAAGAGCCCCAAGAATACAGATTCTGGAACTCACTCACCTCCGGTTCTGGGCCACCGGCCGGCGCACGCGAGCGCTTCGGGAGGGCTTCCACGCTGTTCTGTCGGGTTGGAGCAGCTCCTATTGATCCATCCCATGAGAGTGAGAGAGTCCCATGCCCGGGTCCGACACGCTGTGTGGGTCTCATGTGGATAAGTCTTCTTCCTTTGGGTGGCTCTCATGACCACCCCTTTCGTCGGCCATATCTTTGTAACAGGCTCAGCCCAATTGGATAGGCAGTCTGTTTTTCGTCCTCGGATGAACAAGCTCTCCACACTGGCCCCTGCGGCAGCCAGTGACGTTGGGCTGAGTTTATTAACTTCGGACGACCGTTCGTTTCCTGGCGTTTCGCATGTCGACATAACCCTGTCCGATTAATATATCCGCCGTCAAGCGCCTAGACCATCATCAAGAACGGGAGCGCAAAATTGCGTGAAAAATCCACCGAAGCGCCCTGCCTGCCCACGATGCTGTTGGCTGACCGATGAACCCATGCGTTTCCGAGGGAAACTTCCCTGCCGCCGCATGCCATTCCATCTCTTCGCAAGCCATCACCACGCTCACATCCTCGACTGGCCTCTGAGTACCGGGCCCAATGTCGGCACTGCTTGCCTAGCTCGACCGGGCTCTGGGCTCTGCCCCGGGGTCCCCTCCGAACGGACGTCACCCGACAGACCCTCACCTTTCATCTAACTGACTCGACTTACTATTCTGCGTTCCCCTATTCGTGCAACGCCCGAATCACAACCGCCATCATCGTCCCACGATGCGCCACTATCCACGTTGCCGGAACCCGACAGTGCCAACGTCCTTGGATGGATCATCATGGATCTCAGATTGTTGGCCCCTCGATGGGGCTGACAACCAGGGACGCGGGTGCATGACCGTCGCAGTGCGTCCCAATTTGGGTCTTTCGCAGCCAGGGGGGCACCATGGATCACGATAGATATAATACTGCGACCTAATCCGGCCCCAACGCCATCTGAGTTTGCTCTCTCTCCTCATCGTTGCCACAAACTTCGTTTCTCTCTCTTTTTGCGCTGGTTGCTGCTGTCTTTCTTCTGCCCTCTGTGACGGGTGTACTCTCTCTTACACACTCTCGTGTGCCATTCATTTCTTCACTACAACTTTCAACGACGACTTACACAACATCATTCACACTCTCTTTCAACCAACGACACCAACACAATCCTTCACCATGTTCAAGTCCCTCCTCGCCACGGGACTGTTGGCTGCTGCCGCCACGGCCCAGCAGACCACTGCCTACACCGACACTGCCACCGAGATCAAGTTCCAGCGCTACACCGAAACGACCGGCTTCTCCTTCGGAGTTGCCCTTCCCTCAACCGTCGGCAAGGACTTCATCGGTCAGATCACCGCTCCCATCACCGCCGGATATGCTGCTGTCTCGCTCGGCGGTCCCATGACCAACAAGCTCCTGGTCGTCGCCTGGCCCAACGGAAAGTCCGTCCAGACCTCGCTCCGCAAGGCCTCCGGATACACCAACCCCGAGGTTGTCACCGACTCCAGCATCACCCTGAAGCCCATCGAGTCCGGTATCTCCGTCAACGAGACCGCCTTCACTTACACCTTCTTGTGCGAGGGCTGCATCACTGGCGACACCACCTCTTTCACCGGCACCGCCGACACCACCACCTTCGGCTGGGCTTACAGCACCACTGCTCTCACCGACACCACCAGCTCCTCCGTTGCCCTGAACTACCACGGCGCCGGCTTCGGTCTCTTCGGTGCCAACCTCGCGGACGCCAAGTCTGCCGACTACGACACCTGGGCCGCCAAGGCCTCCGACGCTGTCACCTCCCCCGGCACCGGCGGCAACGGAACCACTCCTGCCGCCCCGGCCAACATCACCACCACTATCTCCAACGCTACCTACGACTACATCGTTGCCGGCGGTGGTGCTGCTGGTCTGATCGTTGCCGAGCGTCTCGCTGAGTCTGGAAAGAGCGTCCTCCTCCTCGAGCGTGGTGGCGTCTCTCTTGCTTCCACCGGAGGCAAGGCCACCGTCGACTGGAACAGCACCGTCACCCAGTACGATGTCCCTGCCATGGGCTACTACCTCTCGTCCGCCAAGGAGACCAGCGAGTATTGCACCGACACTGCCAGCATGGCTGGCTGCATTCTCGGCGGCTCTACCATGGTCAACGCCATGATGTGGGTTAAGCCCCCTGCCCACGACTTCGACGACAAGTGGCCCACCGGCTGGAAGTGGTCCGAGGTCGAATCGTCTGCCAACAAGCTCTACGAGCGCACCCCCGGCACCATCCTCCCCAGCAAGGACGGCAAGCGCTACGACCAGGGCGCTTACGACGTCATGTCCCAGTGGCTCGCTGGCAACGGATTCTCCGAGGTTGATGCTCTGGCCGAGCCTGACAAGAAGGAGGCTGTCTTCACCCACCCTCCCTGGTTGATTGAGGACGGTCTGCGTGGTGGACCCGTCAGGGACTACCTCCCCCTGGCCCAGGCTCTCCCCAACTTCAAGCTCCAGCTCAACGCCAAGGTCGTCCGCGCTGTCCGCAACGGCACCCACATCTCCGCCGTCGAGATCGAGACCGGCACCAACTCCCGCCAGATCATCAACCTGAACGCCGGTGGTGCCGCCATCCTCTCTGCCGGTGCTCTGTCCACCCCTCGCATTCTGTTCAACAGCGGTATCGGCCCCAAGGAGCAGATCCAGACCGTCAAGAGCGGCTCTGCCCAGGTCACCCTCCCTGCCGAGGCTCTCTGGATCGACCTCCCCGTCGGCAAGAACGTCAAGGACCACCCCATCTTCACTGTCACTTTCAAGACCAAGTCCACCCTCAACTCTCTCGCCAGCACTGCCTTCACTGCTCCCGACCAGACCGACGTCGACATGTTTGCCAAGGGCTCCGGCCTTCTCGCCCAGGCCGGCCAGCGTCTTAACTTCTGGACCAGCGTCGAGGGCTCCGACGGCAAGAAGCGCTACGTCCAGGGCACCGTCAACTCTCCCAGCAACAACACAATCAAAGCCAAGGTCTACCTCACCCACGGTCTGACCTCTGTCGGTGAGCTTGGCATCTCCGCCGACGGCTCCACCAAGTTCACCACCGAGCCCTACCTCAACACCGATGGTGACAAGGAGGCCATCACCTCCTTCATGCAGCAGCTCATCGACTACGCCGCCAAGTCCAACAGCACTCTGACCATGTCCGGCAACGTCACCGCTGAGAGCCTGATCTCCGAGCACACCACCGGCAGCCACTACGTCGGTACCGCCGTCATGGGTGCCGAGAACGACGGCAACTCCGTCGTCGACACCAACACCAAGGTCTGGGGCACCGACAACCTGTACGTCGTCGACGCTTCCATCCACCCCGACCTTCCTACCGGCAACACCCAGGCTATTGTCATGGTTGCCGCCGAGCACGCCGCCGCTCAGATTCTGGGCGGTGCCACCACCGGCTCTGGATCCGGCTCCAGCAACACTGGTTCCGGCAGCTCCGGCTCCGGCTCCGGCTCCGGCAGCAGCGGCAACACAGGCAAGGCCGGCTGCAAGCGCTCCGCCAAGCGCGCCGAGAGACAGCTCCAGCGCCTCCAGCGCTTCCGTCGCGCCCACCACATCTAAGTGGACCAAACAAATATCTTCCTGTTACTATAGCTTGTCATTTTTGACTTATTTTGTATGTAAATAAAAGCAACGGCCAAGCCCGAATTGTATGTATTAGTTCTCAAACCCGTTGAAGCTTAATGTGATCCATGCATTGTGCAAGTGCCATGCCAGTACGTGTGCCTCCAGCAACGACATCCCCCGACCCCAAGGCACCGGAGATTTTCTGCTCCCCGCCTGGGAATGAAAGCGAGGCTTTTGACAGGCTCCCATGTCCGCAGGTCCCGGCCGTTGACTTGAGGCAGCCGGGGTGCGTGCGGAGAATTTAAGGCCTAGGCATGCCAAAAGTGGCCGTCAAGTGTTTCCTGGCTGGTAATTGACTCTCGGCCGTGCATCTCGCATCGCGTCCGCACAGATATTCCCCCAACAGGCGAAACATCTTGAAGGGTGGCACGGCCTACCCAAAAACCACGGATCAAAAATTACCTCACTAGCCAACACTCTATCTTGAATAGAGTTCGCCAGCTTCTCCACGCAATGATGGCATCCCTTACAAGTCATTGCGTCTTTTGCTTTTTCTCCCTCGTCTTCGCACAGTTTCGGATGATTGGTGGAATCTTGTAGGTCGTCGTCGACCATGAGAACTGGCACAGGGAGGTTTTGGAAGCCTTCATGACAAGAACATTCCGCGACTCGTTCGCTCTGTACCGTCGAAGCGATCTCTTCGCTTGGTGCCCACGATGGGGCTAGTTACCTCATTGACAGCGTCTCTCGTTCTTGCAATGTTTCTTGCAGGATGTCGCGGAGAAGTCGACCTGTCAGCTCGAGACAGTCGGATGCCTGACTGCGCGGTATGTATCAATGCAAACCATCGACGGCAAAATCTCGCTAACGAAGCAACTGCATCTAGGTCGCTTGCTGGAGTAGGGCAATTCCATCCATGTGCGGCTCATGGGACAATGCACAATGCATCTGTCAAGATGCCGATTTCGACCTGGCCGTGACCCAATGCTTGGCCAAGTCATGCCCTCGATTGTCAACGTTTGGTGTGTACCGCCCGACCCTAAGAAGTGGCCGGTTTCTGACGACGCCGTAGAATCATTGCGAGAATGGGACATAATGTGCGACAAGCCTCGCCGCGACCGCAAGGGAGACGTGTGGCCCTTTCTCCCGATCCATCTCTTCACCATGCTCTGCGTTGCGGCGCGGTTGTACTCGAAATCATGGGTCATTCGCAGATTCGGCTCGGATGATTGGGTCATTACCATCACCTACATCTTGTACATTGGCTGGTTTGCAACTGGCCACCACAGTCAGTAAGACCTGTGCGGCAGATGGACTAGCTGACGAGTACAAAGTATTCCAAAAGGCATTCGGGACAGACATCTGGTGGGCCGATGCGGATACGCTCACTTGGGCGCTGAAGGTGATCATGCGAAGTTGCACATGACAGGGTATTCAAAGCGCTGACACTGCGTCAAGATATTCTACATTGACGCTCCGATATACCTCTTACTCCTTGGACTAACCAAGATCTCGATTCTGTGTTTCTACCTCAGGCTCTTTCCCTACGAGCGCTTCTGTCGGTTGTGCTACGCCATGTTAGCCATTGTCATCACGAGCACGACACTATGGGTGATACTCGCGATCGTCCAGTGCAGACCGATTTCATACAACTGGGAGGGATGGAAAGGCGACTTCGAGGAACCGGTCAAATGCCTCAACTTGAACATCCTGTCATGGGCCACAAGCGCCGTCAGCATCGCGCTCGACACAATCATCCTCGTCATGCCCATGCCGCTAGTCGTCAAAGTCAAGTCCACGCCCCGGCGCAAGATCGCCATCATCTCCATGTTCACCCTTGGCGTGATCATCGTCATCGCAAGTTGTTTGCGTCTCCGGTTCAACATCCTGTACGGGGACTCGGTCAACATTACATGGGATTACGTCGACCTCATGATCTGGACAGGAGTGGAGGTGGCCACGAGCATCACGGTGACGAGCCTGCCATCCATCCGACTGATGATGCACCGCCTGTTTCCCGGGCTCTTTGGCCGCATCTTCGCCTTTGGAGGCCACGTCGAGCAAGACCGAGAACACTATCTCGAGATCAGGAATACTCAGAGTCGGGACGTTGAGCACCTCGGCGCAAAGGGAATCATGCGCCGCCTCCGACGAGCCCAGACGGAGACTGAGCCGGCCCCCACAATCGGAGGTGGACCGCCGAAAGATCGGCGAGCGAGCAAAACACAGCGCGACTCGGAGAGGCTCGCGAAGCCAATGCCATCCGAGGCAAGCCGTGTGTTGGCCAGCATCATGGGCAGTTTGAGCGGATCGTCGAATCGGCCTTCCATCTCCATCAGCGAGTCCTCGACCGAATCGATTACCATCACTACGGAGATCACCATCACACCTGAAGACAAGCAGTGCCATTACGCCACTCCAGCTGTCTGGGAGAGCGACTCTCGCCGCAAAGCATCGGACGGATCATGAGCAAGACCTTGGCTGGGATCTCAGGCTCCATAGATGACCTCGGTTTTGCCCCGGTTCGCAGGTGGAGGCGTCTTGGGGGCCAGTGTGCTGGTTGGACAGATTGTCCGGAACCCCTTCCATTTGCGTGTCGCTCCGAGAAACCGGTGTTGATGCTCCATTCAGTCCAAATTGGATCGGAGCCGGTCCGTCTCTGACGTCGACCCTCCGGAGCACCTGGCAAAGTGGCAGCAACATCAAATGGCGCCGCTCCCGAGCCAAGTACGGGTTTACGAGTTATCATCTGTCCACGCTGAATGCGCATGCCTCTTTGGCGAGAAATTTGGTGGAACGAGTCGAAAGTTTTGCGACTTGACTCGACGCTTGTCATCAAGTGTGCATGAGCACATCAAGAACACCAAGACAACTTGAGCGAGGTGAAAACGGAAGAAGTTGCATGTGTTGCAGATTCCAATCTCGCAAGCGAACGACGATTTGGCTAAGCACATGAACCACAATCCATCAGGAGAGATGAAGCTCAATGCAACCGAGCACCAGTATCATTGCCACGACAGATGCTGGCGACTAATGACCCTTCGAAGCGGCCTGCAAACAAGAACTTTGTCACATCGGCATACAGATGAGCCGTTTTTATTGACTGGTGAAGTAACAGTATCCACCACCACTCTGCTCCCACTTCCCGCAGTCGGGCAAACTCCGACCAATCTTCATCATCGTATGCCGTGCGACATGCGGCACTCGGCCGGCCGGGAGGCCGTCATCAACGACCGATTGCCGTACGAGCACGGCTCGGGGCACTGCGGAGCTTCTTCAGCGCACGATGTGGAGGCCTATCAACATTGGCTCGGGCGATGTAACGACGTATGCAGGTCGATCCTCCACATCACGGCAGTTTGCGGCAATTGATGGTCAAAAGTTATCAATCTCATCTTATCAGATGTAAAGATATGGAGACGCGCCACACCGATCGTCCAGGGAGGCACACGGGTTCCTTGGAAGAATGCCTGATCTCATTCGTTTGTGGTGTGGGAACATTCACGGAAAATGCTGGAAACAGAAGGCCAAATGCCGAGGGAGGCCCAAACCCATGGCAACGACGATGAAATTTTTTGGATGAACTTGTGTTTAGTTTGCCGATGTCGGGAACCATGACGATGACTGCAACGTCGGGATGAACGATACAAAATGCTGGGTCGTCGCGCTCTCTCGTGGGATGTTCTTCTCCTCCCCTCCAGGCTTCCCTCCACCTGACAATCGTTCACCAGCCTGTTGACGACCATGGCGCGTCTCACCTCCTTCGCCAGAGCTACCGCTCTCCTCGGCCTCGGCCGCGTGGTTGCTGCGCAGAACAGCACCGTCTGGCCCTGGCAGACCTACCGGTCCGAGCCCTCTCTCCAGCCTCCCTCGCTCAAGATCACGCAGACCGGAGAGATCGCCAACGGCCACCTGTTCTTCGACCAGTCGGGCTCCGGTGCCCACAACTACTCCGTCTTCATCATGAGCAACGAGAACGAGCTCATCTGGGAGGGCGCGTACGGCGACATCTCGGCCTACCGCGCGCAGTACCTGGACGGCGAGCCGGTGCTCACGTACATGACAGGCATCACCTTCCCGGAGCCCTTTGGCTGGGGCTACGGCGCCATCTTCATCTTCGACCAGACGTACAAGAACATCATCAACGTCACGCTGCCCCAGAACCGGGACGACCTGAACCTGCAGACGTTTGGCGGCTGGGACTCGTCCGGCCTGGCCAACGGAAGCTGGATCGACATGCACGAGGACCTCATCACGCCCGAGGGCACCATGTTCATCCCGGCCATCAACGTCACGCAGACCGATCTGACCTCCGTGGGCGGCCCCGTCGACGGATGGATCGCCGACTCATTCTTCTTCGAGGTCGACGTCAAGACCAGCGACGTCCTGTTCCAGTGGAACCACCTCGACCATCTGGACGAGATCCCCCTTGCCGACTCTGCCGAAGTCTACCCGCTCGGAGACATGGGCTTCAACTCGTCTGAGCCTTGGGGACCCTTCCACATCAACTCGATCGAGAGGTTCGCCGACGGCGGCTTCCTCATCTCCTCTCGCCACTACTGCTCCATCTTCAAGATTGCCAAGGACGGCTCGGTCGAGTGGACCCTGAACGTGAGTTTCTTCCTTCGATGATTCAGCAAAAAGCATAGTATACTAACAGGAAGGCCAGGGTCGCACGGGTGGCTCCTTTGCTCTGAAGAACGGCCTGTCCTTCTGCTACCAGCACGACGCGCGCATCCACGCCGAGGGCAACAGCACGACGCTCATCTCGCTCTTCAACAACGACAACAGCGCGGTGGAGTCGGGCGTCAACGAGACGTCGGGCATCCTCCTGACGGTCAACACGGCGACGTGGGAGGCGACGCTGACGCAGGAGTTCATCGACAAGGACGACACCATCTTCGCCGTGTCGCAGGGCAACGTGCAGGTGCTCAACGACGGCAGCGGACACGTGGTGATGGGCTACGGCAGCGTGCCCAAGATCAAGGAGTTCAACGCGGAGGGCGAGTGCGTCTTCACGGCGCAGTTCGGCGAGGACCGGCTCGTGCAGAGCTACCGCAACTACAGGTTCCCGTGGGTGGGCAAGCCGTACTACGCGCCCAAGGCGTTTGCGTGCAGCGCCGGCAACCAGACGGAGGTGTACATGAGCTGGAACGGCGCGACGGAGAACAAGAGATGGACCGTGTTTGCGGGCGACGCCGAGGACTCGTTGGTCGAGAAGGTTGGCGTCGACAAGACCGGCTTCGAGACCAACGCGACGTTTGCCGGGTCTGCGCAGTTTGTCAGAGTCGAGAGCGCCGGCGAGGGCATCGAGACCGGTGTCAGCGAGGTTGTTGCCGTTGAGAGCCAGTGCTAGATGGCTGCTGTAGCTTCACCTGTAGATACATGGCCACGAGACATTAATTTACATACCGTCCGGCCAATCCAATGTCTTTTCATGAGATGAACCGACGTCCTTTGCTTAATATCAAGGCAACAATTGGTTGTCGCGGCCTTGTCCAGTGATCACTAATACTCGTCAGCAAACGCGTGTCTCGGTGATGCATGCTCCGGATCATTGACATGGCCCGTGAGACGACACAACAGATGCGGCGCGCTGTCCTATACGTGAGTGAGGCATTGAAAAGCTTACAAATGCAACGGGAAACCTCATCGGCCAGTGCAGACGACTCCATAAAACACGGGGGTGTCTCCCGAGGCCACCGGGCCGTGCCGGAGACCGTGCCGGAGGATGGGCTAGCCGCACCTAGTATGCTATGTATGCAAGGTGGATTCGGGGCCGGGGCATCGCAACGCAGGCAGAGCTGTGCAACCTGCTTATTTCGGGGTATTGGTCAGCATTGGAGCATTACAAAGCATCATCTTCCGCCTTGTCGTTTGCTTGTCTCGGACACGACGCAGGTGTGAATGCGTAAGGATCAGAAAAAGAAGAACAGAGAGACGATTAAATGGTACCGCTAAGACTGAGGTACCTATCTCATCCCCCGCACTGCACTATCTATGCTTAAGGTAGTGTCAGGAACACCCGCAACCATGCCTCTTTGCGCTCAGTAATCAACCGCATCACGCCAGGAAGATAGCACGCAATCGCCCTACAGCATGACGAATGGGCAATTCCTCCGAAGTCTGCCCCCAAAGCCCTCTCTGTTCGTCCGTTTAAGCTTCTGGGGCAGCGGCGACGGCAGTGGCCGATTGGCCATGTTGACGGTTGACAGGAGATCAATCCCTCCCGGCCCGCGAACTCAATCTCGCGTCAATTGTCGACCCCAGACTTACCCCTGAGATGGCGTGTTGGTGCATTAATCGTTGTTCATCTCAGTTCTTGTCGACAACCTCTGACCTTTGGTGAAGAGCAACATCGTGGACTGCCTCGATTAGCAGCCCCATCAAACACCCCTGCTCCCCCATTCGCACCACATAACACAATGTACACGGATCTGACCTGGTCCGCAAAGGCTCGGATGCAAATCCGCCCGAGCCGCCTGCAATGCTGGTTGCTGAAATCCCCGCCAGCCGCGACTCGGACCTCGTGCGGCGGAGGAAACACCACAGCAGCGTATTTTCCATTTGTCAGCGCCCACCGGGAGCTCGTGTTCCCCGGCAGCAACTTGCTGCCCTCAGAGCAGCGATGATGAAGATACGACACGGTCGGAAGTTGCAGTGTACCTCGCGCCGCTGCTTGACCGTACCTCAGGTACCTCAGTCATGAGGCAGTAGGCATGGACCAGGCTGGGGGCAAGCATGCAAGTCCCATTGAACAACAGCAACAGCAGCAGCAGGAAGCAAACAGCCACCAGCAACGGGCCACAACCTGCCCAGTGAGTGAGGTGAGCACGGAAACCAGTGTTTCCCTCCCTTGTCTGACCACGGCCATCCAATGCCTCCTTCTCTGCCTGCTTTCTCTGCTCTCTGTCCAACCCGCAGTGGCGCATTAGTCAACCAGACCCGCCCGTCGAACTTGACAGAAACGCCCGATCACCACCTCCTGGTTCCCACCGCTAGTTTGAGGACAGGTGGAAGGTTGCATCCTGTGTCCGTATCTGCTCCAGCTTTCCAGAGCCTGCTCCCAACGTCTGATGGACAAACATATAAACCCTTTGCTGTGACCCGAGACTCCATTTCCTTCCCGCTCGACAAGTCCACCTCCAAACATAGACAGACGTCTTCATCTTTCGATCAACAACCACAACACCAACCCTCTTCCACACTCCGCCAACCAACTTGAACCGCCAAAATGACCTACACGCTCTACGACGCCTCCGTCCCCCTCCTCACCGCGGGCCTCAACACCCTGCTCAACCTCCTCAACAAGGCCGAGGCCTACGCCGCCGAGAAGGGCATCGACGTCAAGACGCTGCTCGAGGCCAAGCTGGCCGAGGACATGTTCCCCTTCACCTTCCAGTACCACGTCGCCACCGACAGCGCGATGAAGATCATCGCCCGCGTCCAGGGCACCGACCCCGAGGCCTTTGAGAACAAGTTCGACAGCGTCGCCGACCTGCGCGCCCGCGTCGAGCACACGCTCGCCCTCGTCAAGGCCGCCGACCCCAAGACGTTCGAGGCCCGCACCGACGCCCTCGTGCCCCTCGGCCTCGGCTTCGGCAAGGGCGAGATGCAGATCCCCGCCCGCGACTACCTCGTCGCCTACGGCATGCCCAACTTCTTCTTCCACATCCAGGCCGCCTACAGCATCCTGCGCAAGGAGGGCGTCCCCCTCGGCAAGGCCGACTACCTCCAGCCCTTCATGGGCCCTCTCGTCGAGAAGCACCTGAAGGCGCAGCAGTAAACATGTCTCAGCAGTACAGAAAAGGTGTTGGTGTGAGGAGGAATTCAAACGTCACAGGATGGATGGCGCCCGGCATCATGACAATGGCCGGGATTGAGCACGATCGGATAGGAAAAGTTGTCAATTGAAAGTCAATAATTACGCATTTTGCCATTGTTTTTCTTGTGTGCGGCAGTGGATGTAGCATTGCAGCTTTGCACGATAACTGTAACACATGAAGCAGCCATTGATTTGGTTCAGAGATCTTTCTCATGGGCTCTCAGTGAATCAACACGATGTTGCCAGATCCAGATGCTTCTTTTCCCCTCCATGACCCCTCCACGACCCCTCATTCCCTTAATGAGGGGCTCAGGGACCGCTGACTAACCACAGCAAGCCTCCACTCTGCTCCGCTCCTCACCAATAGGATGAAGCTATCTCCATCGTCGGAGAACAATCCGAACTGCCGCCGCCGCCGCCGATGCTGATAGACGATAAGCTGCGGAGACAGATCCCTGCGCGACTGACTGATTTCCCCTCAGTAACGTGACCAAGCAAACATGAATCGAGCTTTTCTCTACATATGGTGACGCGAAGTGCAGACTTCTAATGGATACATGAGTTGTTTCCGACATAGAGTGTCGTCCTGTGAGCAAAATGTCCGTTCTAGCATCGGACATGATGCTAGCCATGTGACTTTGTCATGTTCTGTTGTCGCCGCACTGTTGTAATAGCACGTGGCGTGACCTCGCTCAGCGCAAGCAGATAGAATTCGACATGAAGCCGATCTCCCTTGGCGTATCATGGCCCAGAGTTCGTATTAGTCTCTCCCAACCTAGATATCACGGCACACAGGATATGTGGAATAATTAAGGCGGCTGTTGCGTAGCAACAACACCCATTCGAACTAATTCCCAAATCTCGGCTTTATTCCAGCGGACAGACCTTGTTCCTGCGTCAGAAAGTAGGGGTCTTTCAACGGACTGAGTTTCTCTGGATTCGGCAGCCAGACGATTGTTTAGTGTTGAAATATTTCAAGCTAAACCAACAGTGTCCTCGTGGCTAGAACAGTCGGAAGGTTCACGAATGCTGGGCATTCTGTTTCTGAGCAATATTGATCGTGGCAATGATGACGGTTTGCAACTTTGCAGTTTGTAAATGGCAAAACATCTACAGTCCACGTGTTGGTCAGGTCTAGTCAGCAAAGCTCGCGAAACCCGCTGGTCATCTCTGCAAGCTCAGCATGGCTTAAAGGGAAGACGATCACCTGAATCAATCCTTGTAAGCCGCAGAGGGATAATTGCATCTTTTTGCTCGTTGCCTCTAGTAAGCAGTAAATGTGGTCGGATAGACCACTCATCAGAGCGTCGACGATACACCTTTTTGAGGTTGTTCTCAGTCATAGCGAAGTTCTCCGAGGCAGATAAATTCCAAGTCATATGCCAGAACTGATAAATACTGCCGCCCTTATTCGCTTGACACAAACATCTACCACCTTCAAAACCCATTCCCCCCCTCAACCGCGCTGTTTATATTCAACGGAACTTCAATTCTATCGCTCCCAGTCAGATCTTGTCAATCCATCGTTTTCGTTAAGTCTCACATCCAACATGAAGTTTTCCATTCCCGTTGTCCTGTTCACAGCTGGTGCTGTTGCCGCACCCTCCTTCGTCAAGCTGAGTGAGCGACAGCTCAGCGAGCTGACGCAGGTCCTGACCCCGGTCCTCCAGGGTCTTCAGTCCTTCGACGTCACCCTCAACGCCTACACCGGGGGACCTGGCCAGGAGCTACTCAATGTCGCCAACAATGTCATCGCGGGGGTCCGCGCTGCCGCCAACGCCGTTGCCCCTATCCAGCCGGTGTCTGAGTCGGAGGCTGGTGATTTCGCCGGACTGGGCCAGCAGCTTGACATCGCCGGCTACAGGTTCATTGCCGATCTCAACGCCCAGATTCCGGTGTTTGCCCAGAGTGGCATCTGCCCTGAGACTCTCAACTGGGTCACCCAAGTTGGTACGTGACTAGAGCGAGCTTCTTCTGTTTTACGCGAGGGAGATAGCTAACATTGTACAGGAGACGGAGTTCTTGATCTGAAGACGGCCGTGTTCAGCAAGTTTCCCAACAACGGTGGGGATGCAAATGATGTCGAGGAGTTCAGGAAGCTCTTCTCTGCTGTTGAACAGCGATTGAAGGAATGCTCTGCTCCACCTTCGGCGGACTGTAGTGCGTATTGCGGCAAGGACCATAAGGAATGGAACAAGAGCGAGTATAAGAAGGGCGAGAAGGGTGAAAAGGGGAAGAAGGGTGCCAAGGATGACTGCAAGAAGAAACACTAGACAACAGCAGTAGATAGTGAGTTAACTAACTACCAGGGAAGAATGGTAGCTTAGTCAGGATAGCAGTGTAGAGAGAAAAGAATATCATGGCTAGCCTGCGTTTGCCAACGTGATGATTGTTGCAGCGGTACCCAAGCAACACAGCTGTGGTGAACTGATCTATCAAACTATAAACAGAAAACCATACGCATATTCAGTATGTGAAGAAGGTACGAAAACAACTAATTAGGAACAGGATGCCGAATTTCATGCAGGGCGGGAAAAAAGAGGACAACAAGAACTCACCTTCAACTTGAGGCCGAAATCACTGTATCCTGGATGTGTGTCTGGAGTGTGAGGCGCTGTGGAGTCATGTTGGGGGCGGCATTGCCCCGCCCTCACCATCGTCGGACCCTTTCCTTATTTTTTTACGGAATTTTTCAAGCCCCGGGGCGGCATCACCACCTTCACCAGCCACACACCACGGAATCTCAATCCACATCGGCACTCATACTCACTCACATACAGCCTCACCGTCACATTCACCTTCACTCTCACCATCCTCAACCTGAACCAAGAACACACTCACAATGTCTGCCGATCTCAGCGAGGCCGAGGCCCTCGCAACCCCCGAGTTCTGGAACGAGCGCTACACAAAGTCAGACGGCTCCAACCCAACCCACGAATGGTTCCGCACCTTCGCCGCTCTCGAGCCGTACTTCCAGAAACACCTCTTCACACAACGAAGCCCCGAGACGTCGCCGCGCATCATGCACCTCGGCTCAGGCGACAGCGTACGTCTCTCCCCCCACACCCCGCGCGTCATCCCGCTCACACTCACAGACAATCCCCGCCGACCTCTCGTCCCGCGGCTACAAGAACCAGCTCTGCCTCGACTTCTCCCAGGTAGTCGTCGACCTCATGAAGGCCCGCCACGAGCCCCTCGGCGGCATCGAGTGGCGCTGGGCCGACGTCCGCGACATGCCCGACGCCGCGCCCACCCGCTCCGTCGACGTCGCCTTCGACAAGGGCACCATGGACGCCATGATCCACGGCTCGCCCTGGTCGCCGCCCGACGACGTCAGGGACAACACCGGCCGCTACCTGCGCGAGGTCCACCGCGCGCTCAAGGACGACGGCGTGTTTCTCTACATCACCTACCGCCAGCCGCACTTCATGAAGCCGCTGTTGAACTCCGAGGGGCTGTGGGATCTTGAGATGGATGTGTTGTCGGGTGGCGAGAGCGCGTTTGATTATTACGGATTCATTCTGAGAAAGAAGGCTCAGGTATGAAGTGCGGTTGTTGATAAAAGAGAATGGATGGACAAAATTGCATGGGCGGTGTTTGGGTTATTTTAAGATGGACATGTTGAAATGTCACGAGATGAGGAAGCTATTGTGAGTTTGAACAATTGATATACGTAGACCATATCATTCTCATAGACTACAAATGTACAAATATTACATCCCTTCAAGCTTCACCTTCATCATCCTCAAAAGCCCATGTACTCGTTGGCCCGCTCCAACAACGCCCTCTCTCCCTCTCCCTCCCCCGCAACCCGCAAAGCCTCAAGACCCATCGCCCTCCGCGCCTCCGGTGCGACGATGGCATCCTCACCAGGTCTACCCACATGATCTCTCTCCCCCTTGCCGCCAGGGAAGTCCGGACCAGGCAGCCCCTCCAAGAACGCCTCCCTCTGCCTCTTGAGATACCACACGTTCTGGTCCGTGAGGGGGCACACGGGGATGTACAACACACTGGAATCCCCCTTCCCCTCGTGCACCATGTCAACAGCGTGGATCTGATCCGCATGCCACGCCACAAAGTCGCCCGGCTTGATCTTGGGCATGTGCACCATCGTCCGTCCCAGCTCCAGATGCGGGTGCAGCTTTCCGTTCAGCTCCTGGCAGTGTCCCGCCGTCGCCCCGTGCAACTCCGAACTCATGCCCTCACCCGCCGTAAACACCCAGTTCTCCTCCCTCAGGAACTCCGCCCCGCTGACGTCCTCCCGCAGGGGCTGGAAGAACGGCCGGAGCAGGAGATACGCCGTCGTGTGCTTCACCAGCGGGTTGACCAACAACGTCCCCTCCCGCGGCCCGGCGGTGCTCATGCTCAGCCACCCCTGGAACATGCGGAACATGCTGCACGCCCCGGCGCCGTTGTACAGGTCCTGCACGGCGTGCACGCGCGCGCTGACCTCCCACGGGTCGTACCCCTCCCAGTCGCCGCGGAAGATGGCGTCGTACGTCCCCGTCTTGCCGTACCCGTCGCGCTCCCAGCGCTCCAGGGACCCGCCGTCGATGTGCGGGCCGAGGGCGAACGTCGCGTCGCCGGGCTGGCGGATGCGTAGGCGGTCCGCGTATGTCAGCGGCTGGAGCGAGATGGCCGCCGAGGGGGACTTGTTCCAGAGGTCGCGCATGAGCGCCGTCTGGACCTTGAGCAGGTTCGGGTGGCCGCGGGCTTTGAGCTGCGGGAGGGACCAGTACAGCTCGTAGACTTGCGGGTTGTCGGCAGGGAAGGCTGTGCTCGTGTTAGTGGTCATGTAAATTCCATCAGAAACCGTTGGGAGAGTATACCTTTTGTCGACGGGTTTTTGCGGACATACGCCTCCACCTCTTCTTTGTACCCCCGAGCTTCCTTCTCGTCCACGACGCCTCGAACAACTACCGCGCCGCGTTTCTTCATCTCGTCTTTGAGGTGCTCAATGT